AGGGCGGACGCCCCGCCCCCGCCAGGCCGCTGCAGCCCCGCCCCCAGCCCTGTGCGTTGAGGCTCGCCGTCCGAGCGGCTCCGGCAGGCTCGCCGCCACGCGGACTAGCTGACCTGCCAGAGGGCTGGCTAGCGGGCACGGTGGCCATCTTGAGTCCTGGTAACCACCTCCCCGCTGCCCTCCCGGCTCCACAGGGCAACGAGGTTGAGTGCCCGCCTCAAAAATGGCCGCGCTGCTGGCAAGGGGGTTCATAGTCACATGGGCACGCTCTACCTCCGCGAGCTCAGGTCCCTTTACAGCTGGGGGAAAGGGACGCTGTCAGGGCAAATCGTAGACGTCAAAACCTCATCTGCAGAGGAAAAAGGCCGCCTAGGAAACCTCAGCAGGAGGAAAACTGAAAACGTGGCAACAGCTGCAAGACATGCTTAATTCCAAGCTGCTGCTCGGGGAGTCAATTGCAGATGATGATCCCAAATGTTCTTGAACTTCAGAAACACTTAAGGCAGCTTATCCAATATAAACGTATTCAGGGTTCACTAAACTGAAGCAGAATCTAGGTGGGAGAGGTCCCGACATCCGGTCCTGTTAGCGTGTACTCAGGTGATCAGGTATGCACTAAAGTTTTACACCCTGTGAACCAAACTACCCAATGCTCCATTTGTCACACACGTCAGATTACCTCGCTTGACTCAATACAGGAGTTGTAAAACAACCATATAAAGCTACAAGAAAATGGTGTTAAAGTTTACAGTGAGCTATGGTGAGTTAAGAAATCGATAATAAACTAATAAAAGCTGAGAAACTGAGAGGGGGTAGTATCGGTAAATGCTTTATGCCCCAAATAGCTTTTGTTTATTCCTTCTTTATTCTCTGTGTAATAATATTTATGTTAGCTGAGAACAACATCCAGCGGCACTCATTTACTGAGCAAATAGTGATCAGTTTCATTGGTTTGAAATATATCAGAAAAGAAAGGAAGGTGGCTCAGCAGGTAAAGCCTTGCTACCAAGCCTATAACCTGAGTTCAAGTCGTAGGAACTTGATGGAGGCAAGACTGAATGTCCATCCTCTGGCCTCCAGATATAAACCATGGAGAACATCTCCACCCCCCAAAAGTATTTTTACTTCTTTAATTTTTAAATGGGTGCTTTCTGCCAGGTGGTTGACCCTCCTGCCTTATATCAAGCAGCATGACTTTCTGCTACGTTTCTCCACTCTTCTTAAAGATTTACAGCTTGGCCACCTTAAGGTACTCCTTTTGAACTCTAATAAACCGTCCTTGAGCTTCAAAAAGAAAAGAGAAAAAAACAGGGGGAGGGAAGGTGACACGATGTACTCTGGGAGCTGAAGAAATGTCTCAGGGGAAGAGCATTCGCTCCTCTTCCAGAGGACCCATGTTCAGATCCCAACACCCGTATCTGGTGGCTCACAACCACTCCAGCTCCAGAGAACCTGCACACAAGTGGCACACATTCACACACACACAAATAAAAATCATTTTGAAACTGTGAAGGAACCAAGAAAAAACATAATGTACTTAATTTTAATGTTAAAACGAAGAGGAGGAGGAGGAAGAACAACAACCAAGGAGGCTGAGGAGTGTGTACTCGGTTCAGTCTCAACTCCTCTTGTGACTTCTTTTCTGTGTACTTTATCTAATCTTAGGTTAGGAGGCTGGTATCAGAGCAAGCAGACACCTAATCCCAAGTGGCTAGCTGACTCTAGATAACATAACAAAGATGCGGACCCACCTACTAAACTTCAACATATGCTCCAAGTCCAGAAATAATAGTAATGCTCTAAGATGCAGTCAGTCTGTTCTTAAAAATACAATAAAATTAAAAAGCACTCTAGAACCTTTTTAAGTGAAAGATAAATGAGTACATTTCTGGAAAGTCTTTGGCAACATGTATCAGAAATTTCATTTTTGAAGCAATTATTTATTTAAAAAGTAGACCAATATGAACATATTTTATACAAATATTTTATACTGTTACAAACTTTAGCATTAACAATACCAAAAATGTATCATGTACGGCAAGCCTGTCATAAGCTAATATTTCAGTAACAGATTATACAGCTATTATAAAATGTTTCCACAGAGCAGAACATGATCTTAATCACTGAGCCACCTTTTCAGTCCCAAGGAGATGGGAATTTTAATTGTGAACTTGCCAAAAACTTTCTAACCTTCAACAAATCATTTGAGTCAGCTTCCTTATCTGAAACACAAAGGAGTTCACTCAGTGTGACAGATCAGGTACACTTCAGTTCTCACTGGAGAAAGAACTGTGTCCTTGTGTCCAATACAGATCAAGTCCTTTCTTTATAGAACCAATCAATATTAGTTTTAGTTAGAGAGATCATTCAAATAAACACTGGAATATGCAGCTATCTCAAGAGGCATTATCAGAAATCTATTGTTTCCTTCTGATTATCTGCATATTCTTAGGTTGTATTTCACTTTAATGTACCATTTTAAACAATCTTTAAATGGAACCTGACAATTTATTGGAGAATTGGAAGTGTACAATAACACTTGAGTGACTAAATTTAATTTAGTAAAACTTTTTAACAAAACTCTCTCTCAGGCATACAAGTATTTAATTTTCAGTGACCTACAAATGTCTGGTGCGCAAGAAAAACTATTTAAAAGTACAGAACACTGTTTCTCAAGTATTCATTAATATTTATCTAGTGTTTCACATGGCTTTAATCCCAGCACTAAGAAGCAAAGGCATGTGGATCTCTGTAAGTTTGAGAGCAGCCTTGTCTGTATAGCAAGTTTCAGGACAGTCATGTCTACAGTGAGACCTTATCTAATACACATATACATTATACATTTATACATTAACACACACAATGTGTGCACGCATACATTGTATGCATGTGTCTCTATGTATCATCTCCTTTTCCATGCTAGACCTTAGAGATTCAGCAAAGATAAACAATGCTCCTTTTATGGAATTTACATTCAATCTAAAGTTTTACAGACGAATAACCAAGAAACAGACAAGAACCAAATAATCTGTACTATATGGGAGGCACAGAGGTGCTTGTGCCCACAGATAAGCACTAAGGGAACCAGAAATGTTAACAGACAGGGTTGTTCCTTCATAGGAAAGTGTGCATCATCTGTTATCCATCCAGAAGACTGGGAGTAGATGTGGTTAATAGCCTGGTGACCTCTGCACTATCTGTGTGGCCAAGACCACAACAGATCCTCCCCCAGACTCTTATCAATCAACAGGTCCATCCCATCTTTATGCAAGATGTACTTTAAGAGTTTCAATGTAATCACATCTTAAACTTTATTGTAGTACATGGGACTGGGTTATCACCAAAAAAATTTTGTCAAATTGTGCTTAAATATGACTAAAATAACTACTCCGGGTCAGCCCCTGCTGTAGCTGTGTTGAGCTGAACTGCTTTCTTTCCTCTCAAGGTTTGTCACTCTGCTGGCCGTGGCAGTACTCAGAGAATCACAACCAAGACATCAATGCAGGGATCTCCTTTGCACTGGATAGTCAAGGAAGCTCGCTCTCTCTCTGCCAAGGGAGAACTAAGTTACAAGAGCTAGGTGGGGAAGGCCATTCCACACAGACCATACCTAAAAGACGAACTCAACCATCACCGTAAATAAACAGAAAAAACAAAACAGACTGAGGGACACATCATCTGGCCAATACAAGGCACAGATCTGAGACACAATGAGCCTAGAAACATAACAGGAAGCCACTATCATTTAGTTTTAAACAAAGGAAAAATCTTATTTTGTTAAAAGATTCCCAGACATTATATGTGTAGAATGGAGAAGAGAATCATGAAAGCAAAGAAGAAAATCAGAAGCTTGGCACAGCAATCCAGCGGACACATGTAAGGGGTCTGAGGCACAAAGATAGGAACGAATGTGAGGCAGCTGGATCCACGAGGCATTTCTGAGATAGCCAGCAGGTCCTGCTGGAGGACTACATGTGGAGGATGGAGCTGCAGCTCACAGATAAAGAGGCTGGGAGCTTGGGAGAGCGGAGTTCTCAGAGAAGAGAGAAATCAAGGAAACAATTTAATTTCTAGTCTGTCTTGAACCATATCCTTTCTGTTGTTGTTTTAAGATTTATTTTTCTTTTATGAGTATTTTGTGCACTGTATGTAAGTGCACTAAAGCATGCAACACGTGTGGAGGTCAGAAGAGGACAAAGGAAGCCCTGAAGCTGTAGTTTCAGCCCATTGTGAGCCACCATGTAGGTGCCAGGAACTAAAATCAGGTTCTCTATTAGAGCAGCAAGTGCTCTTAACCATTGAGTCTCCTATCTTTCCAGGCTTGTTTTCTACCTATAAAATAAAATACGTGACTCGACTTGTGTATGCAGTCTCACAGTAGCCTAAAGGGATGTAAAACTTAGTTTACATTTGCGGCCTTAATTTACAATAGACACAATGCTGTGTATGTTGCAAGTACTCTCCTGTCCGAATTATAGCAGCCCTGGCAGGGGAGACTTTAGTATCACATTTTACGTTTTACAGAGGAAAAACTCTAAAGCTCAAAATGATTAAATAATTTGCCTCATGTCATACTTCATAGACCAGACATCCAGTCATG